TTCTTCACATTAGTTCATTTTTTAATAAAGTATCGAAAATAACTCATAAGACAAACGATGTAGAAAATAGAAAACCACATGTTTTTTTTTCTAAAGATTCGTGTGACTTGGAAGAAATATTGAGAACATTGAAGTGTACTTTTCATCAAACACTAATATTGCTTTATTGTACATAATAAGAATACTGAAAAACGTAATATTATACTTAGAAATGAGATAGATCGATTGAATAATACAATTAGATGTTTAATATTATTCCTAAAGGAATAAGTAGTTTTGTAGTGCTCACAATGTTCTATTTTTAGTTAACTCGAGAACTATTGTTCACTCTTATTTGGAAGATGCTTTACTTCTTGTCACCCGTATTTATCTAAGCAAATAGTATTATCTCATGTTAATTAGAAAAGGAACTGAAAATATCATCGAACAAACATTGTATCTACACTTTTTTACCAGTCATAAGTGCATTATAATGACATATTACAACGTAAAGAAATTATTAATTTACAAAAAACTAGACGGCATCTCAACAAAGTCGAGAATGCTGAATAAAGTGCAAAGTACGACCAACTGGCAGTATTCTATAGTTTCGAATAAAATACAATTTCTGATTATCTATTGTTACGTTCACTCCTGGAGCTATTGTGAAATTCACATTATTCAGAAAACTGTATTACGAGCTATGAACATGTTTCTAATCAATATTATCGATTGATGGTGTGAATTTCTTTGTGATTCATTATCTATAATTACCTTTATTCGCAGCTTTTTTACGTATGAACCAATAAAGTGATACGTAACTTTTCTTGTTTTCATTATCCAGAAGCTTGAAAAAAGCAAAATTCTCAAAAATTTGTTATTTTGAGACAATGTTTGTATGCGAATGGAACCTAATAACGATAATCGAGAAAAGCAACTCTCATTTCCATCTCGACACTTTTACATCACGTTTCAATGATTATTTTGTACCTTTCAGCTTCCAAGATCACTCTTAACACAAAATGACAAATTTATTTGCGTACGTCAAGCTGGAAATAAATAAATAAATAAATAAATAAATGAATAAAGAAAGGAAGAATGAATAAATGAAAGAAAGAAAGAAACAAACAAACAAAAAAAACTCGCTGCGCAGTACTATAATGGTGCGTCGCACATTAAAAAAATACATGATTTTATTGATTTTTAGTCATTGATACTTTATATTTCTGAAATGCACAGTCAAATTGTAATCTTTTTTCTTTGATGAGTTTTTTTTTAAATTCCGTCCAAGTCCATTTAAATGTTGAGATAAGATTTTTTTTTGGTATCACAATATTAGTTAAATATATCATAGATAAGTCATCTTCATCAGTTGCTTTTTTTATACGTTTTACTTCAAATAAAGTCCATGGTAAAATAAGTACTTCTTGTTCATCTTCATATTCACTTAAACATGGTTTATCCATTGATACTCTTGCAAGATTAATAGCTTGATCACATATATCAGGAAAATCGAATATTAATAAAACACCGAATTTCTTTTCATTATTTTTCGCTTTTACATACGCAAATTCTTCAGCAATAGTACGATTCATAGATGTTGAAGAAAATGAACGTGTTTGTAAAACCGTTCCTGGAATTTCCATAGCTCTTTGATACATTAATAATTCCTCATATGTCATATGCATACCACGATAAACACGTCCTCTAAAAAATCGTTCCTTTAACTTTGGTAAATGTATAAATAATGGTATAGCTAATGGTAAACAATCTTTTTTTAACACTCGATAAAAGTTTGTTTCAAGTGTATACAAATGAAGTAATTGTTCGATTGCATCATCACTTTTTTCATATTCTTTTACTAAATCATGTATTTTAACATAATCATCAGCATCATCTATATCAACTTCTGTTAGTAAATTATTCAAATGTTTAAGTATGGCCTGATGGTCTAATGGTTCATCAGAATGAAAATGATTAACACAAAAACGACCAAAACGTGATTGACACATTGCTTTTGAACTTGCAGAATACTCGATTTCATGTTTTTTTTCTTCTTCAGTTTTGTATGTTTGTATAGCAGGTAATTTTGCAACAACTGATGTTGGTTTTTTATCACGATCATCGTTATCACCATCATCATCATCTTCGTTATCTTCAACTTTCATTACATCAAAACTGTCTGATGCATTTTGTTCAAAAAATCGTGAAGAACATGTTGATGATAAATCAGTTTTATTTTGACGAAGAAATGATAAACGCGTAGATTCTTTAGCTAATGACGCCATATCATAAGCACTTTGATTTTGTGAATTAAGAAGTGATGATCGATAAGAACCTTGTTTAAGTAAAAGTTTGACAATATTATCATGACCATTTGCAGCAGCAACATGTAAACATGTATTTCCACCGTATGGAAATTCTTGTCGATTTAAATCAGCATGAGAATAGTTTGGTAAAAGATTTCGAACTCGTTCTTCATCACCATCACGACATGCTTCGTATAAAGGAGTGATGGATTTCAAAGATGTTCGTTTTGATGCCGAATGTCGAGACCAGACACTCTCTATATTACCCATATACAGATAAAAATATATAAATGAATATAAAACGTTTATGCTTCGATGCACAACTAGTTACGTTTTAATATTTTATGCATTTATATACTATGCATAGGTTGTTGTTTGTGCTATGCGAATGTATGCTGTGTATGATGAGTCAACATCGATGCAATCATGACATAAATAGCTAGTAGGCGTAATAAACCAAAAAAAGAATCTGATTGATGATTAGCAAAATAAATGAAATGGTCAATAAATGAAATAATTATAAAACTAGTCAATTAAATGATTAAAAAGTAAATTTTTTAAACGGTTATTTATTAATTAATTAGGTGTGTAAATAAATAGAAACATGTTTAAATATAATTTATCAACAGTCGATCCTGTTAGAGGATCAATATAAAAATTGAAATAGGTATCGAGTGAATCATTTTTGTTCTTCTTTTCCTTTCTCTTGAGCTTTTCTTAGTATATTTTTACTCTTAATCACCTGTTTCTTTTAATATACATATTTCGTGAATATGATCGACCATTGTTTCAATTATTCTTATTGTCCTTTATTTAAAACAAAAGAAAAGAAGCTTCTAGACTTCTTTTCTGGTCTGCGTCTTTATATATTTGCATGAATAGATATTCAGTGGTTTTCAAATTAAAATAATATATTTCACGTTTACAAAAATTGACGTATTTATACCTATGAAATAGTACAAGTTTCTCAATATGAAAGCCATAAATTAGATCAAGAGATGGTCAAAACAGATTATGGAATAAATGAAAATGACAGAACTCTTAAGAAAAAGGAATCAAAGTCTTGGCTTAAAAGTGATGCATTTAATAATGTTGGCAAAGCAGAAGAAACAATTAGAAATCAACGTCAAAATATTACGCAAACTTTACACAAGATGGAAGAAATGTTTCTTACAGATGCAAGAAAGTCAAACGTCGTGGTTCTCAATCTTGTGCAAGAATAATCTGCTATCCAATATAAATAGTGATAAAGTAACCACATAGGAAAGTGAAACTGAATAGAATATCATAATGGCGATATTCGTGATATTGATGAAAAAATTAAAACGTACATAAAAAATTTATTCAGTGATACTACTCTGAAAAATAACTTTTAAAGGAGAAATAAGTTAATTTACACAAGAACCCAATAATACTTATTGTATTCAAATGGTTGTATTGATCCATTATAAACTGACCAACGCCAAATATCAAGGGCATATGCATAAGGTGGTAGAAATAAACGACTTAAACCTTGTGAAATTAGAAAGTTTATATTATCCTCTATAATAAAAAAAAGCAAAATATTTTCTTGGTTTTTTTGTAAAAAAAAAACGAGAACCTCGAGTCAATGTATAATTTTCTAATAAACCAATGCGCTTTATATGTGTTGGTGACATTGTAGCTAAAGCAATTGCATCACCAATAGCTTCACTAAATGCACCATGTGGTGAACGACGAAACCAAAATGGTGAAGATTTATATTGTAAATAATGTTGAATATGACCCATTTCATGATGAACAATATAAAAATCACGAGATGTTAAACTTGTACACAT